TCTTTTTCACAAGTTAAATATCCTAAATATTGAAGGTTGGAGTGATGTGCAAATCCTGGGAAAGTTTTTTATTTGCTTAGACTAATTTAATTATGTATAGGAAAGAATCCATAAATCATAAGAACCACCTTCTAATTTTTTGGATCACAAAAATATCCTCCCACGAAATTGGACAGAAGAAGCTAACAAACGCTCAAAACTTGCATGGAGAGAAAACAGCTCCAACACTCAACTCTGTCTAAATTTTATTTATTACTTAAAAAGAGGAATAGTAACGCGTACTCAAAAGTAATGTGTGGGTCCCCCTATTTATAGGCTCCCACAAATCAACTCTAACCGTTCCATCCATCTAAAATCAATGGTCCACATTGGGGTAGCTCGATGGTTAGTATTCGAGTGCGCCACATAGATATTCAGTTCATCGCATTGGTTTTTGTGATGCATTCAAAGCTCGTAGGGCTTACGTCATCTGTTGCCACGTGGATGTAAGACGATCCATGGGGTTGCCAAGCATCCTTTGATAAGATGAGCTATCAACTTATCAAAGTGACTAGTGAAGCCAATGTTGGAGGTGATTTATCAGGTACCACGTGTCAACAAACCATAGGTCGAAAAGTGTCACATCACCTAAGGATTTGTAGGCTAAATACATAAGTCTAAAGGATCGACAATATAGTTCGACCACTTTAATTTCCTCGGCCGAGCCGACAAATGCATAGGATGGTTGTGCTTGCCTTCATAAAGGTTGGACCGACCAATATAGATATCAATGGCTGACTTTGGTAAAGAGCGAGCCGATGATCACTCTGAAATGGTTTTAACGGTACGTGATACTAGTCCTCTCTATGAGTAATAGATCGAATTTTAGATTGGCTTAAGCATCCCAACCGCTTTCTCTCTGTGTGAAGTTTCTGACCGTTCTTGTGATCAAATATAATTATTTCAAGCTCTTTATATATGAATAAAATGTTATTATTTGTTGTAGTCGGTGCATTTTTCTCAAACGAGGTATAACTTTTAAAAAGATCTCTAAAATAGTAAAAAGTGCTTTTGATGGACGTTGAAAAGAATCTAATTCTTAATCCGTTTAGTTCTAATTTTTACCCTTTTAATGGACGTTGAAAGAACCTAATTCTTAACTAGTTATCAATAAATTGTTTATTAGATTGATTAGTGACACTCAAGGACGACAAACACATAGATAAAGTATTGATGTATTCAAAGAGAGGTAGCCCATCAAGATTCTACAAACCATGGCCACAGCAGCAAGATTAACAGAAGCAATGGAAGGAAAGTAAGAACATAGGAGAGTAATTATAGAATGAATAATTTGGAAAAAAAAAACAGATTTAATTATTACTATAAATTTTGTAAACGTGATTTGATTTTAAATGATTTATGTTTCGTTTGAAGTGATTTTTATATAATTAGAAGCAATCAATCATCTAAAAAAATCATCTATCCAACTAATACTTAAAAAAATTGCTTCAAAATAGTTTTAGAATTTTTTTTTTCAATCATTGATGATGCAGAAATTTGACCTTTCAAGATCTATCAAAGTTGCATCGATCTTAAAAAAAAAAAGGGATTCAACAGATCTACAAAATAGAAAGGTACACATCAGTGTGGCTAACCACACTTCAATGTTTAAGTGAATATTTTTGTATTTATTTTTCCATCTATAACCATCATAATTAATTTTGACCAGAAAAATGATTTTAACCGAGGCAAAATCACTTTCCATCCTACTCTAATTGTTGCCTCTTTAGTTCAGGTAGAATTAGATTCCCTAATCACAATCACACGTCTGATTAAACAAGGAAGACAAGGATTTGACTTAAATCAACAAGTTTATCAAGTATACAACCAAGAAATAAAGTATATAGTATGGTTTGAACATATTGGGAGAGGCCATCACAATTCAAGGTAGGGTATATAGGTGATAATTTAAGTATATAACGAGTCTTCCAAGGAGCAGTCTCATTAGCAAGAATATTGAGCTTTGTGGTATCACCTACCATGAGATCTTGTGTTCAAATATTTGAATTAATTTAATAGTTAATACCAAAAAACTCGATGTCTCTTGAATCCAATCTTAGAATAGACACAGAGCAATCGGGTTTTTCCTCCTTTTTTTTTCTTTTTCTTTTCCAGTCTACTTGAGGATCTAACTTAACTAGACACAGAAAAGGCTTGAACCTGGATCTTAACACCCAAGCCTCTTCCCACTGTGCCCACACTCGAGGATGCGTAATCAATAACATTTACTTCTTCTTTCAAAGTCAATTGTTCAAAATACTCATATCTAAAATTTATCTTATAGTTTGGTTTAGTAATTGGTTCATTCTTGAAACAAAAATTTTTCCCAAGTCGTTAAGCCTCCTTTTCTTAGGATGAAATTTGTGGGATGTCTTTTTGGTTGACCTAAATTTATTCTAAAACTATACCTAGAGCAATTAAGGCTTCGCTTGATCACTTTTTTTAATCATTTACTTTTTTTAAAGAAAAAAAGATTATACATAATTTTCTCAAAATAAAAGTATACATAAATGGGAATGTTTTTATGTTTTATTTTTGAAAACAAAATCTTCTATTTTATAATTTAAAAATGGTTAGAGAGGTTAGGGATCTCACGTTGAAAAGAAAAGAACCTTACAATGGTTTATAATAGAGATGACCTAACTCTCTCATTTCCAATTGATTTTAAGATGGAATCAGATAAGAGAGAGCGAAATTAAAAGAGATAGAGATATGTCAGCGAGCAAAAAGATCAATAGAAAGATAAAGTAGGGAGTAAGGAAATAAAAGTTATAGAGATTGAAAAGTTAGATACTATAGAGGAGATAAATTTTAGAGAATAAAAAGTAAGGTCGTTCAAGCAAATGAGTGGAGTTGAGTAAAAAACTTCACTCCATAATCAAGCGAATGATTTATTTTATGTTTAGAACAACATGTTGGGGAGGGAATTCGAACTCACAACCTCTTAGTTTGAGATATATGTGACAGCGAGCATAAATGATTTAAAAATTCAATATTTTAACAATAAATCTACTATTCAATTCCCTCAATTTACTATTCAACTCCTCACTTTATTTTATTTATTTATATTTAGTCAGGTGGATCCCACATCATTTCATATATCTTTTCTCATCTCTCTTCGTACAATATGCCACATCATCTCAAATTTGGTGGGTCCCACAATCTTTTTTCTTTTCTTTTCTTTTTTTTTGGTGGGTTCTATTCTTCGCTATCCTTTGTTACTTTCATTTTTTTTTTCTAACATTTATCCACAAAGGTTCATTTCAATCTTTAAAATCATTATTTCATTTTAAGTTTTACGATTGATATAATGCTAGTAATAGTTTTTCATTTTTGTTTTGGGAAACAATATCTCCAATTTTATGTTAATAGAAAAAATAGAGAGGAAAAACTCAAGAAACTTAGAAATATGAGAGAGAGACAGAAATCCGTTAGAGAAATTATAACAATATACAGAGAGAAATATTAAATAGATTAAGAAATTTTGGAGATAGAAAAGTAAAAGATTTAGAAAGTTTTTTTTGTTAGCAAAGAGAAGCTATATCAGAAAAGAACCATACCACCTTGGATTATATTTCAAATAGAACCTCTACCGACCATGTGTAAAAGTAAAGCGGGGAAACACCAATCGTTCCAAAGGATGGAAAAGGCCAAAACGAGACACTCGTTTGGCCAAAATATTAGCCTAGGTATTTTGATCGGGACTAATATGAACAAAACGAAGCTCATTAAAACTCTTCCCCAATTCATAAAATATTCGAAACCTACCTACCCTCCCCTCCTCCTTCCATGATGTTCTTCATTACCAGCTAAATAGCTTCGAAACAATCTGACCGAACTAGCAGATTCTGAAGGTTAAGATGGATTGTTAGCAGAACAGTCTCTCTCATCGCCAGAATCTCTGCTTAAAGAAAAGAATATCGTAGAGCAAAAAAGTTGGTCAAAGCCAAGTCAGGAGATAGTGGGGATGTTCCCACAATAATATCAATCCCTGTCTAAGGAGAAGAACTCGAACAAGCTACGTCAACACATTTGAGCCCAATCTGTTGGGACATCTAAGCTCGAAAAAATTTAGAGATAGACATGAAATTTTATAGCGGAAGAAATTACGATAGAGAAAAATGATATATCAGATAGATAAAGGAAAGTGGGAGAGAGACTTTCAAAACATAAAATTCTGATTTTAAAAAATTGTTTTCTAAACAAAATTATATACAATTTAAAAAATTGAAGATTAGGAATTCGTTTGGAAATACTTTTATTTTTGTTTCTTATTTTCTATTTTTAAAATTAAGTTTATAAACACAACTCAGGAGTTACTTTATTTTGTATTATGTGTCTTAAAAAGATTTTCAAAGCCTAAGCCCACATCTCAAATATTAGGTTAGAGTTCGGACTTGCTTTCTCATGTAGTTTATTTGTATGAATCTATTTATATTACAATATTTAAAAACATGTTGATCCCATGAATAATATATATTTTTTAGAAATATCACAATTTTTTATGTTTTTCAAATATAGCATAAATTGAAATGTTCTTGTATTTTATATTTACACATTTAGTTTATATTTGATTTGAACCATGTTGTTCTTTAAAATTTCAAACTTTATACTATGTTTGAAAATACACATTTATTTTATTTTATTTTTAGATAAAATATATCTTTATTATTTTATGCTACTTATTAATCATGACAAAAATTTTCAAGGGCTAAGATACATATATTTTCTATTGAGATGGAAGTCCATCTCGACCTTTGTTGAACTCAAAGAATAAAATAAAATAACACTAAAATACACCACGGACAGACATTATAATTTATACCTTAAAAAACCAATGAATGTTATTACATTATTCAATCTTATAAAAATCTTGGAATGATATGAAAGGTACTAAAAACTAAAAGGAGAGTTGTGGGTATTGTACTAAAGAGAGAGAGAGAGAGAGAGAGAGAGAGTTGTGGGTATAATCAGCTGATCCTGAAATTGAATAAATACTTCAAATTCTTTGTATAAATTACAAAGGGAATGTGACAAAATGGAAACATTATCAGCAGCCTAATATAATGGAAATTACAATTACAAACCCAAAAAAGAGAGAAGACGACAAACTGCAATATAATTGCTAAATTTCTAAATCCAAACAAAAATCAATATTAAGAATAATTGATGTTTTGTTTTTTCTTTTTTTTTTTCCATTAAAACCTAATTAAGAAACCTCTTTAATTCCTATTGGTCTCCCACTCGAGTCAGAAATTTACACCCAAACGCCAACGAAGATTTCCTTTTCCTCGCTCGGTTTTTCTTTTTCTTTCTTTCTTTTATGTCCCTTTTAACTGGACGATCGAGCCCCCATTTTTCCTCTCTTTGTAATTCCTTCCAACATCTGGGGCTTCTCTCTCTCAACTTTTGTCAAATTCTTATATATAACCTATGACGATCTTCGTCATCGTCTTCTCGAAGTCCTTAAAGAAATATGAAGGAATCTCCATTGAAACTGGAAAGATTTACAGACCCAGTAGAACATAGTAGAGCAAAGTAATGGGCAAAGCTATCAGCATCCCAAAGATAACCCTGAAATGCCAGAATGAAGGTACCGAAATCTAAGTCACGCCCACAGAAATTTAAAAGAGAGCCTTAAAAGGTACCAAAAAGCTGCAAAAGAAACAAGAAATGGCATTTTGATAGGGGAGGATTTTGCTTACCCAGTGCTCAGAATTGCTGGATGGACATTGTACTCTTTTGCAAACACGAACGGTACAATTCCTTGGGGCAACGCCGCCTACACATCACATGGGATGATGATACATCTTTTTCATTAGTTTTTATCCATATAATCACCGACTCATAGGTATGATTTGATAGAGCAGGAATAAAATTACAGGTACATGAATTCAAGTAGGATAAAATAATTTTTTTATTTATGTTTTCAAACAAATTAAAAATGAGAATGAAGAAAGAAGGAATTTATTTTGGTTGTTTTTAAAATTTCTATACAATTTCAAATAATATTTCCAAAATACTTAGATTTCTTAAGAAAATTGAAAACAGAAACACTGTATAACTACTGCTTGTGAGTTTGACCACCCTTTTAGAACAGTAAGAAAGATGAAAAGTACTTTTTTTTTTCTTACTCAAAGTAGTGTTTTTTCTAAAAGTACTTTACTTGACAATACTATTTTCAAAAGTCATATTGAAAAGTTACCTGTACAATGGCGATGCGGAGGAGGTTACCGCGTAAGCCGATAGCGATTGAAGCGACTGCCATGACAGCTGGCCCAGTTAGGAATCTGACGGCCATGGCAAAAGCAGCAACAGAGTTCCCACATGCAATCATCTTTGGTTGTAGTCCCATAAATATACCTTACAGTAACAATACAACAGCACAGCACAAGTCAATTTCCAACACCTTCTTAGTTCTTCCCGTCAAATAAACAAAACCAAGAACATCTCCATCCACTGGAAAAGGAAGAATTAGAAAAGAAAAACACACATGAATTCACAGTTCAACTACTTTCACTAATTTGGACTGTGCAATGGAAGGCATTTAACTCCGGCCCACCCATCCTTGGACCACCCAGTTGATGTTGCCCACTGGGGCCTCATGTCGGGTGGTCAAGGCCCAAGATTAAAAACTTTCCCATCCCTTTTCAGACACACAATGTGAGGAAAGAAACATAAATAATGCAGAGAATACCCATTCTTTGACAGCTTCTTCCTCATCATCAACCTAATTTGCCTAACATAACCATAATCTTCTAAAATAATAAAGCTTCCAATGCATCGTCATCTATTATTTGTTTAATCATCCAGATGATAAAAGTTGGACAATAACTTTTTCTTAATTCTCGGATTACAAAACAAATCAACTCTTTAAATGCATCATTTGTTTTTCCCCCTTTGTAATGATTAGATTAAGTTTCTCTTCAATTATTGAGATACTTACGTGACAACATGATATATGTTTCAGGCACAGACCAAAAGAACAAGTGATTTCTTTTCTCTTTTTCTCAATTTCTAGCTTCTCTCGAGAATAATTATGCTTAGACCAAGATATTAAATAAAGATAACGACCACTCACCTAAGCTAAACATAGCCATTCCGAGCCCTGCATCAGAGAGTATGGAGATTGATTTCTCTATTATTTTCGGCATAGCCACATGCCATCTGCAAAGTTTTCATCACAACCAACAAGGCAGACAAGTTCATGAAGGAACAATAAATACAGAGGAAATTTTAGTAGACATCCCCAAATAAAGGGGGAACAGAGTTAGTTAAAATGGAAGTTTCAATATACTGTAAATCCAAGTGTTATGAAGTTCTTGCAGATTAATTTTTGGCTTACCGGAAAGAAATGAGCGACCAGATTAGGCCGATGAGGCTGGAATAGGTGTTGGGGTTTCTGATTAGCTTCCGCCACACCATGATCAGGATAAGACGGGTCATCACGCTCGCCGGCGGCATTAGTTTTGAGTTCCCGCCGTCCGGTGCTCCTCCGGCGACTTTCCCGTGGAGCTCGCCGCCGGAGTTTGTGGGTCCCTCTTTCTGATCATCTCTTTCTACTTCCCCTTCTTTTCCGGCGCCGAAGCTGAAGGCATCGCCTACATAGCCCTCGGTTTCTGGAACACCTTCACATCAGAAACAAAATGGAAACTCATTATAAAAATGGATTTGACTCGTCATATAAAAGAAGATTTTCACTATTTATTTATTTATTACCTTTGTTTTCCCCGTTTTGTGGATGATCGGCGACCAGCATCCGGATCTCCTTC